CCCGCCGACCCGCCGCCCATCTCGCCGTCACCCGCGGCGGGCCCCACCACCCGCAGCCCCCCCGGCCCCCACGCCAGGCTCCTGCTCGCCTCCAGCGCCGCCAGCGCCCGCCCCAGCGCCGCGCCGCGCCCGGCACCCGGCCCGCCCCGCAAGCCACCAGGCGCGAGCTGCGAGAGGCCCATTGCAGTCAGGGCGCAGCAGGCGGGCACGAGCGCGCTGCGCCCATCAGGGTCCTCCTGGCTTGGCGACACCGCGAGGAAGTAAGGGATGCTGGCCGGCAGCCGCAGCCCGTGCTGCGCGAGCCAGAGAGCGCGCAGCGCGTCCAGCTGGGCGGCTGTCACGGCTGAGGGCGGCACGATGGAGCGGAGGAAGACCGGCCTGAGGGTTGAGTTGGGTGGTGCGACGGGCGTTGGCAGAGGGGCGGACGTTAAGAAGTATAAAGACCAGGAGGACGCAGGGGGTCATGCGCCGTAGGGAGTGCGCGGGGGACGGCGTTGGAACCGTGGTCGCGCGGCCACCCAAAACAAACCGCATCGTGCATCCCCAGTCAGCGGGCGGGCTTGAGAGGGTTTGTGTGAGGCTCCTCACTCTTGATCCGGCAGCAGCTTGAGGGGCCGCCCCTCCAGCAGCCGCGACGCCGCGCGGAGCTGCAGGGGGTTCCCCACAATCGCCGCATCCGCATCAGATCTACATATGTCCCCGTCCCAGCCGCCGCCACCGTATTGCTGCAGCGGCGCCGGCAGGGGCGCGGGCTCTTGGACAAGCGCGTGGGCGATGGAGAAACGGCGGTAGCGCACGAAGCCTGCGGGGTGGGTTTGCCAATGTCAGGGTTGGCGGGTTGTTGACTCGATTGGGTTGGGCAAGAGATGCTTTGATGGTCGCAGGTCTCACGCGTTAATGAGATCAACAACGCCGCAGCAACCCGGCCCGCAGAGCCGACTTTGGACCTTCGCCCCACCCACCTGCACGCTTGACAAACAGAAGCACGGCGGCCGGCTCCTGCGCCCCCACGCCGAACTCGAGTAGCGTCCCCGAGCCCTGCGCGCCGGGCAGCGCGGACAGCGGGTCGGCCTCAAGCGCCAGCCCCTTGCGCAGCATGAGCCAGCCGCGCGCCGCCAGCGCCGCAGCGGCTGCGGCGTGCAGCGCAGAGCAGAGCGGCCAGTGGCCCAGCGGGTCCAGGCTGATCTGTTTGGGTTGACGTGACGGGGAGGTCGCGCTGAGTCTGTGCAAAATCATCAGAACAAGGCGCACGCAAACGAATGGAGTGGCAGGTGCGGCCATGTGGACTGCATGCGTAAGTCTAGAGACGGTGGCCCGGCGCATGCAGAAAGGTGAACCCTGCATGCAGTTGGCGGGCTGCATGGTGGCGCCGGCTCACCGCGGCCTTGACAGGGCCGAGCTTCATGCCGCCCACTTTGGGGGCGGCCACGCTCAGGGCCTTGTACAGTCGGCCCACGTTGGCCTGTCAAGAGAGAGCAACAGAGCCAGTGAGTGAAAATACGAGGACTTGTCGAGCCAATTGCCGGGCGTTGCCAGGCGGAGGCGTGCATGTTGTGTGGCGTCCAGCCGGGTGAGGGGGCGGGGGCGGGGCGGTACGCGGCAGCCGCGCCGTGCCTCGGCGGCGCTGCGGGGCGGGGCGCCCACCTTTGGGCAGAGCAGCTGGACGGTTTCAGGGGCCTGCGCCTGCGGGCGGACGATGCACCAGTCCCTGACCTCGGGCACCTGGGCAGCAGGGGCGTCGAGTTGAGCGCCGACGATCCCGCAACGTTGCATGTGCTGGCAGGAATTGACCAGCTGGGAACTTGCATGCTACTGCGGGATGGGAGATCTTCGAAGTCTCATGTCATCCACAGCAGCATGCGGCCGGCATGCATGCGGCATGCGGCCAATTTGGAGCTCTCCGTGTCCACCCTGGGGCGCAGCACGCACATTGTCATGGAGGCGGCGTGCCAGCGCCTCCGAACGTGCGCGGCTCGCCAGCTGCGCTGCCGTCGCTGCCGCCTCTTCATCATATTGCCCGTCGTTGCAATCCTCGCAAGGCCCACTACCTGGCGGCAGGGCAGCACGTGCGATCGCCGCGCCGCTGGGCGCGCTGTCAGCAGTCCCAACGGTCAAGCGCACCAGAGTGCTGAAGGGCGCCGAGGCATGCAGCACCACCGCCGCTTCCTGATCCGCTTTCTGGTGAATCCCTCCTGGTTCAGAAGCCAAGGCGAGGGCGGTGGCCCACATGCTGACAATTCAGGCACTTTTCAAGTGCTGCGAGATCTGACCTCCGCAGCAAATATTGACAGTTGTCCACCGGGCTTGATTTGTAATCCTGATGAACGCAACGTTTTGATGTACTTGTTGTAGATTCCAACACAGCGCCTCGCTCATTTCGTTTGCTGGACAAGCCAATTCGCAACGCTTGCAGCTTTCACGCAGTCCAGACGCCCTCATTGGCGGAGTGACAACTAGACTGACACATAGCTAGCGGCCATGCACATGCAAAAGCCACGCATGCTGCAAAAACAGCGGGTCAGTACAGCAGCGGCAAGTGCACTGGTGACGCTGCTGCCTGTGGCACAGCGTTCAAGACGAGAAGCCCCACCCAGTGCGGCGCGGGTGCCGCGGCAGCGGCCCTTACGCCCACTAGCGTGCACAGCAGAGCCCGGCACCTCCGCAGCCCCCAGTGTCAGCAAGTCGGAGGAGCCGGAATCCAATTTGTACAGCGTCCCCGAATGGCCCGGCGGCATCTTCAGCGTTCACATGGAGGTGGGGGCCCGCACAGAAACTCCTACAGAAGCGCTGAAACCTTCTTGACGCGCAGCCACTGTGGCCCTGCATCAAGCCGACCGCACGGTGCTGCACGCACACCTCAGCGACTCACGAGCATGCGTTGACACCGCGCGCCGCAGCTGGCCTGTGGACTGTATGTGAAGCAGCCACTAAGACCGGTGCGCCGCATGTGCAGGTGCGTGACACGGAGCTCGACCAGTTCTCTGTTGTCAATAACAACGTGTACGGCTACTACATGCAGCATGGTGCGTCAATGGGCGATGAGCGCGTCATTCCCTGCAGACGCCGCAGGATATCATGGCAGTTGCCGGGGCATCGCACAGGCGGCGCCCGACCAGCGCCGGTCCGTGCCACTGCACGGCATGCCCCTCACCCCGGACCCCCCGCCCGCCGCATCTCTGCAGGGCGCCACAAGGCGCTCAAGGCGCTCGGCGCCGGGGTGGGCGAATACCAGGCCAGGGGCATCCTGATGGCCCTCAGCGAGCTCAGCATAAAGTACAAGACCCCGCTGCGATCCGGGGACGTTTTCAGGGTAGACACGAGCGTGGAGCAGGTGGGATGGCAAGAGACGGCTGGGAGCCTCCTGACGCTCTGGTCATGAGCTCCAGACCCAGTGGCGCCGTGCGGGAGCTGGGCCACCACAGGCTGCAACTGTTGGGGGCGCTTTGAGGCAGTGCAAGCGTTGTTGACAGGTGGGAGGAGGGGCAGCCTGGCGTCGTCTAGCAGACGGTGTGCCCCGCGCGCAGGTGACGGCGGCGCGGCTGGTGATGCGGCAGGCGGTGGTGCGCGAGGACGCCGGCGGGCGCAAGCTGTCGCTCTGCGCGGAGGGGCTCGCGACGGTGCGGCCCATGCTGCGTGCGGCAGAGGCGAGGGGCGCTGCTGGACAGCCCTGGCGACCTGCTGCGAGCGGCTAAAGTCGTCGCTTCGCGCTGGCCCAGGGAAACATTTGTTTGCACCGCAGTCATATTAGCATGAAGCGCGTGCAGGAGCGCGATCATAGCTGGGAAGGCCTCTCCTTATAGTCTGTATCTTTCAGCAACATGTGTGCCATGCCATGCACCCCCCCAGTGGTGCCGATCGATTGCTTATCGAGCAGTTTTGGTGTGCTCGAAACACGCAGCTGGTGTGCTCAAACCACCCTTGTTGGCGCCAGGTCGTGTTCCTGGACACAGCGTACCGCCCCATCAGGCTACCCGCTGGCGAGAAGGCCGTGTTTGAGGCGCTGCGGCAACAAGCGGCAGCTGCGGCGGGAGGAAACGGCACCGACTAGCAAGCGTCGCAGTGTGCGTGGGCTGGTAACCAGTGATCGAGCCATGATCTGGGTCCCACGGCTGCCAGGTGTGGTCCCACGGCAGCAGGGGCGAAGGGCTGGGGCAGTTAGGGAGGGACGTACAGTGTTATGGCAGGGGTTTGGTGTCAATTAGGGCCTGGGCAGAGTGCACCAGCTATACGCACGATGATGGGGGGAGCTCGCAGCTGTCAGAACTGCCAGCGTCCGTCCCGCAGGTGGCGTAACCAGCCTGTCCACACACGGGCACTGGGTGACGGCGTTACGGCCTGGCGCTGCCAAGCCTTAGGCGTGCCAGCGTCGCACTCCTTAAACGGAGGCGCTTGGGGGCTGCAGAACGCGCTCCAGTGACGAAAGGGCCACGGGGAGTGAGTAGAAGGGGGCCTCGTGACAAAGATTTCGTTACAACCTGCTCCTGTCCAGTTGACAGCCTTGCCATCTGAGCGACGGTCGTCATTCTTTGAGCCGTTTCCTTGAAGTCGGCCTGTATACCACTCCCCGTGTCTGGCACGTGGCAGGCTGTACTCGCGCCAACCCCCTCCATTTCTCAGGGCCACTCAGAGCGTCCAGAATTAAGCACTAAAATCATGGCTGATGTGACAGTGGACCACAGCGGCGGCTCCAAGCCATGGATGTCAGCGTCGACCAAAATGCATGCCCACCTACTGCTGTCACTGTTCCTGGGCACATGCCTGGTGAGCAGGGCGACGAGCTGCTGTGCTCTTCGTGTTCCCCGCTCTTCCGAGCTTCCACCGCGCAGCAGCAGCGACAGCTGGCAGTGCCGTAACACCCTGGCGGCTGCCCCGCGGGTGACCATGTCAATCGTCGAATGACCCCTTGCCTTGCGCTTGTCCCCCTCACCCGCCACAATCGGTCCGCAGGAGTTCTTTGACTTTGCGGTTTTCGCTCAGCTGGGTGAGTCCCGCTCCTCCGTCCTGCAGCATCGCCGCATGCATGACCATGCCTGGGCGACACGGCACTGCCACCCCCGCTGCCAACTCACCCGAGTGACGCCCCGCCATGTGCGCGCAGGCAAGTACCTGACGCCCAACTTCTTCCCTCCCGGCAATGTTTATGCCGAGCAGCTGTCATTTTGGGCCACCTATGCGGTACGGCGCTACACGCTTGATCCCCGGCAGCCCTCCATCGAAAGCGCCTTGCGTGCAGCCCCACCCCTTCGCGACCTCATTATACGCCCTATCCTCTCCAATTCTAGCTATCGCCTCCCCCTCCTCCTGAATCCCCTGTCGCCCCTTCTGCCCCCAATCCTCAACCCATCCCTGTAGGTCGCCTTCATCGTGCGCCCGATGGGCGCCCTCATGTTCGGCCACGTGGGCGACAAGAGCAGCCGCAAGACCAGCCTCATCTGGTCCCTCGCCCTCATGGCGATACCCACCACCCTCATGGGCTGCCTGCCGACATTCGGCATGATCAGCTGGGCCGCGCCAGTGCTGCTGGTGCTGCTGCGGCTGTTCCAGGGCCTCGCCATCGGCGGGGAGAACGGCACAGCCCTCGTGTGAGTGACCCCCGCCCTGCCCTTGCTCGGCATCCCGCACGTATGCGTTCATCATCAGCAGCATGCACCTGTCCTGTGGGCAAGCCCGGCCTTAAGAGCGGCACCTGACTGTCTGCCCGCAACCTCAACACCCCTCGTTCAACCCTCTCCCCCGCCCAGCCACCTGTCTCCCCCAACACCTCCACCCCGATCTCACAAACCCCGACCTCACACCCCTTACCTC